GTAGAATTAAAATAGAATAGAAAGTGTTAGAGTTAGAGGGTCAAATAAAGGTGGAACAGATGTGTTTTTAGTCGTTTCTTGAAGCTGGTTAAGGACTCAGCTGCTCGGATTGATTTGGGCAGGTCATTCCACCAGGAGGGAACAGTTAATGAAACTTTTGACTTTAATAATGCATTAGTAAATGTTGAAATTAACATTAACTAAGATTAATAAATGCTGTAGAAGTATTGTTCATGCTTAGTTCATGTTAACTAAAGTAGTTAACTAATTAACCTTATTGTAAAGTGTTACCATTATTATTATTATTATTATTGTTATTATTATTATTATTATTATTTAAATCTGAATCACAAACTGACTTGTTATTTGATCTCAATTAAATTTTTTTAAATCAAAGCAGCTCTTTTAATTTATACAATTTTTTTGCCTATTACCAGTCTCACTTTTTAATCCATTATGTACTCTCTTGACTTTTTTTCCTGTTTGGTGACTGAAGCTTATCACAAGCTTTTCCACGTGTTTGAGATGTGGCTGTGGGCAAGAGAACTGATTTGAGTGATGGCAGCTATCAGGGCCACATGCCATTTAATTAAGGCACTAAAATTTTTCAAGTTCCCCTCATTGAAAACACATGGTTCTCTTTTCTAACATACTTAGAATCCAAAAGCTATTTTCTTAAAAAAACAACAACAACAACAACAACAAAAAAGTAAAAAACAAACAAAAAAAACTTTTATAAACTTTTATCAAACCTTTAGAAAGAGCTTGACTACATGCCCTGTTAATAAAGCAAAACTTTGTATAGAACAGTCTAAATCAGAGTCAATAACCACCACTGGAATGCAAGCAACAGTAAAAAACACTTTCAGAGTGTAAAACAACCCTCAAAACAACTGCATTTCTCTCACATTTCCCTTGTCTTAAACACTTTCTGCCAAAGCAACAACACAGTAGTTGAGCATTTTCTCCCACACAGAAAACCATAAACTGCTTAACATGGCTAGCTTAAAATGTACAGTGGCTTTGAACGGCTTTGAAAAACTATTTGATGATAAAATAAACTAGAAAATGGTAAGCGAAATAAGTGAAATAAAATGTTTTAAAAATGTATTGATTTGCATTATATTCATGAGATTCCCTAACTATTTGGAGAAATTTGGCTTTAATTGAGCTATGTTATAATGAATTACTATGTGGGATATCAAAACAGATAAAGAACAATTTTGACATAAGCAAGAAAAATATCATATCTGAGGGACATACAAGGAAACACTTAGGGAGTTGCAAGACTGTGAAGCTGAATAAAACAAGCTCTGTCCTTTCAAGACCAGAATCAGAAGCACAATCTCTCAGACCAAACCTACTAATCAAAGAAAAGAAACAAAGGAGACTTTATTCATCCAGCCAGGGCTTATAAAATCACAGATTCAAAACAGCTTATTGTGCTATAGAAATAGCCTTCTTAGTCTGGTCACAAAGTGCTCTTTTTATTGGCCATGCACAAAAGTGCATTATAGCCTGTAGGCATGGTCCTATTGTAGAACACCAACTATGTATTGCTTTCGAGACGTTCATGTTGCATGTCTGTAAAACAACAACAACAAAAACCTTTAACAGTTAAAAAAATTCAGCCACCTGTCATTGTGTCAATGATAAGGATGAAGATTCTTTCTGGACTGGAAAGCATATTTTGAGAATGTACAAAAATCAAAATGCAATTAAGCTATAATTTTAACAAACACTTATTTGTTTGGGATATGTTTAAACATCACACAGGAATTTCATAAAATATATAGAGTAAAGAGTATGTGACTTTTGTTTTCTAGCAATTATTTAGTGCATTCTTATTTAAAAAAAAAATTTGGTTGCAGAGACTCTTATTTTTAAGTACAGTTTTGTGCTGTTTGGTTTGTTTTCACATTCCCTGTGTTTATTTCCCATTTCTCTTGATTTTTTTTTTATTTATCATTATCTTGTGTGTACATATTCTTCCTTTTATTCATTGTCAGTTCTTTCTTGATTAAGTTATGTTAAGCTTTTGCTTTTTTGTGGATCGGTCTTCAATCCCTTGACTCCACCATGGTCTGTCATCTTTATGGCTCACTGGATTTACTCATCCTTCCTGCTCTGCTGTTTTCACCTGGGTCCTCCATCCCTCCAGCTCTTCTGTTGTCCTCAGTCCCACCGGCTCAATCTTAGTCCTCCTATCCTCTGGCTCCTCTCATGCTGGTACTTCCTTTGGATGCACCTTGGTTTCTGGCTTCACCGTGGTCTCATCCTCCACCAGCTCCACCATACTCTTCTCTACCAGCTCTGCTATGGTGGTTTTTGCTGTTCTGGGGCAGGGTTCTGTTGCCCTTCCCTGGCCCTGGCCCTCCCTTTGGTGCAGTCTGTGAGTGATGCTCACCTGATGCTAGTGGTTGTAAGGAGCCACCCATATAGAGTTAATGGGCTGTAAGATCTAGAGAGTATTGCTGTATTTAGTGTATTTACTGTTTATGTTCCAGATACTCAAATGCATTCATTTTCACATTTCCTGTGTTTCCTGTTTCTCTTGGTTTCTACGGTTTTTGATTATGCTCACCTCTTAGTTCATTATTATCTTGTGTGTGCGTATAGTCTTCCTTTTCCT